CATTCCTGGAACATACTTGTTTTTCACCCTCTGCCTCTTAAAAGCTGTTTCCTTTCAAGCTTAACCCACGTCCCCTCCCTCCTCTCCCTAATTGCTGGTGCTTCCCCACTGCCAACCAAATTACCTTGTCTTCATTTGGCATATATTTTGTATATGCTTGTATGTGTATACATTCTCTCCCATTAGAATATAAGCTCTTTGAGAGCAGGGGACTATTTCACCTATGTCTTTGTATACCCAGCAGCTACCACAGATGCATAGTAAACACTGGGTATTCACACATGTTGGTTAGTTGACTTATTGGCCTAGAGTTTGGATAGCAACTATAATTGTAAATGTTTTGTAAACATGTCCAAATGGAGGATTGTAAGAACCTCAAACTCAACATGGCCCAAACTAATCTCAGGTTCTCTCGATGATTTGTTTCTCCCAAAATTATTTTGAAAAGGAGTCATAATATCTGACCACAGAAAAAAAAAGGGTTAAGAACTCTGGTTGGAGGCTTCATTCACAGAGTTAAATTAGGGTAGTAGTCCTCTATAAGCAGACTATTCCTGGGTATACAACGTAGAGTCAGAGGAGGTCTGTGGGCAGTTACGGGTTTAGTAATGACCTGGTTGAACAGCTGTGGTACACATATAATTCTACTTGGAGTCAGGAGGGGATATTACTATAGCTGGATACCGAGAATCTCTTGTTCATCCTATGTTTCCCCATAAAGTCATCCTCAAATTCCCAATTACACAAAGAGAGGAATTTGTCTTTCATCACAGAGGCACTAGGAGCCTCTGAAGGTTTTTGAGTAAGGGAATGACATGGGTCAGATTGGTTAAGAGGGGGTTTTTTCACAACAATGCCAGGTGATAGGTAATGCAAGATTATGATGTCTATTTCACAGAGGAGGAAACTGTAGTTCATTCTCCTGCCCAGGGTCAAAAAAGCTAGATGGGATCTGGGACGTGAACTACATTCCTTTAATTTCAGGTCTAGCATTCATTCTCTCTTATCTCATGCTTATCTCTTTTCTTTCTTTCTTTAGTTCATTTATATCTGACTCTGTGATCCCTTTTGGGGGTTTTCTTGGCAAAGATACTGGAGTGGTTTGCCATTTCCTTCTTCAGCTCATTTTACAGATGAGGAAACTGAGGCAGACGGGGCTAAGTGACATGCCCAGGGTCACACAGCAAGTGTCTGAGGCTAGATTTGAACTCAGGAAGATGTCTTCCTGATTCCAAGCCCAGTGCTCTATCCACTGTGCCACCTAGCTGCCCCATACTTATCTCTTAGACAAAATCAAATGCTGAATTGCTTGGCATAGCTCATTAAATGCTAGAAGACTCAAGTAATATTGGAAATTTGCATAAACTGGAGTAATTGGGTCCTACTTAAAGCCTGAATTACAAATTAATCAATTAACAAGCACTGATTAAGCAATTACTGTGCCAGTCAGTGTATTAAAAGAGTTAGGGTTAAAAAAAAAAAAGCAAAATCAGTCAGTTCCCCCAAGGAGCTCACAGCCAAATAGCAGAAACAACATACATAGAAATCAGGATGAAAGGTAGCCTTCAAGGAGAAGGCACTAGCAGCTGGGGTGGGGGTGGGGAGACCAGAAAACACCTCCTGATGGTTATTCCATTTGGAGGATGTGTGGGAGGCAGTGATGGGAAAAGAAATCATAAGAGAAAAGCACAGGACCATGGAATTTATACAGTATAGACCACAGGATTTATAGATGGAAGGGGCCTTACAGACCACCTAGTCTAATTCTCTGATTTTACAAATAAAGAAATCGGGGCCCCCAAAAGCTGAATGACTAGTCCAGTCGCGCAGCTAGTAATAAGCCACAGAGCTAAGAGTCACAATGTTTCTCTGACCCCAGACCTAGTGTTCTTTATTCATGTGCAAATCAAGTGGACTTTTTTCCCCCTGGGCTATTGGCGAACATTAGCTAGTCTTCCGGGCTAGTGTCCAGCATCAGACTATTGCTGCATTCAAATAGGAATAAAATTTCCATTCACATCTGGACATTTTTAAGTTCCTATGCAAAGATTGGGCACAGTCCTTATTCCTGATAGTGGACAACAGTGCCACCTGGTGGTCAGAGTCAGATATGACTCAGTGTTGGTGAGGCCATCTCCTTCTGTGAATACTTGTTTCCAGTCTCTAGCGTTTTCGTTTTCTCGTTTTGGTACTGCTAAACATTATTTAGGCACCTGAGGTTGTTTAAGAGATCTGAGGAAAGAAATGCAAAGCTCTTCCAATGCACTACGTCCCCTTTTCAGCAGCTTCCTTTCATGGAACTCCTCTCAGCCCATTTTGATTAGTTGTAGGATACGCATCAAGGTGACAGCCCCCATTTCTATGGTGCTTGAAGGTTTGCACAGTGTTTTCCTCACATCAGCTAAACACCGGGAATACAAAGAAAGGCACGAACAATTCTGCTCTTCTCCAGGAGCTCACAGTCTAATGCACTGTTCATATCTGACCCACTATTTTACACTCTTCCCCTCCAAAAAGGAAGCAATAATTGGTAGAGCCCTTACAATCACAACTTTGTCATAATCCATTTGTTGTGTCCAGTTCTTCGTGCTGGACTTTTGGAGTTGGAGTTTTCTTGGCAAGGATACTGGAGTGGTTTGCCATTTTCTTCTCTAGCTCATTTTACAGAGGAGGAAACTGAGGCCAACTTGCCCAGAGTCACACTGCCAGTAGGTATCTGAGGCTAGATTAGGCCCGATGCTCCATCCACTGCACCACCTAGCATAACCCACAGATATCCCAAATCAGCAATTTTCTGTGAAGGTCCAAACACGTACAGTCTACCAGCCCATTAGTAACTGGGCTGCCACAGAAGTCATTCACAATCATCCTCCAGAACACACAACCGTGCAAAGTTCATGCTTGCCTTGGTGCTCACCAGGAAGCTATTTGGATTTGGCCACTGCTATTGCAATTGCCTATGCTAAAAATATACAACTGCTATTGCCTATGCTAAAACACAAAACTATCTATCTAAATACCTATCTCATATCTATATGAATATATCTCTATGTAAATAGACTGAGAGATCTATCTATAAATCTTCCATCCTGAACATGTCTATTTCCTCCCCCTACACCCAAGAATTACCTTTGTGTTAGATCAACATGTTCCTCCTAAGCTGAAGGGCTTGTATAATTTCATGGAACCTCTCACTTAGCTGGTTTGTTACCTCCACCCATTTATACCTGGGCACAGTATCTTCTTCCAAGGGAAGCACCAGTTTCTTATTCATGTCCTTTTTTTAAGGCTAAGAAAGCTTCAAAAGTATTACTACATTAAAAGGTACAGAAAAAGCTCACATTCAAGAACAAGTCAAGAGAACCCCTTGCTCCCACAGGTTTCAGAGACCCGTTGTCCCCAGAACTACAGTGAGTGAGGGCTGCAGCAAGGGGATGGGGCTTCGTGTAACTGTCTTGCCGCCATCATACTTCTTGACTGCATTTCTTGTTTTGCTACTCCAGCCCCTTCCTTTCCTTGGTACTTCTGCTCCTGGTTCTAGCCTCTCTGGGGTTCTGTTCTGGGGCCAAAGGAGATGATCTTCTACAATCCAATGGAGAAGAGACAGAGTCAGCTCTGTCCTTGTTCACCAAGGCCAGTACCTGGGGGATAAGGATCTTTGTATTCTCCAGTTAAGTGTCATTCCTATTTTACAGCAGAGGTAACTAAAGCCCAGAAAAATTAAGTGACCTGTCAATAGGTGGCACTATAGTGCACAGGAAAACTCTTCCTGAGTTCAAATCTGCCCTCAGATACTTCCTAGCTATGTAACCCTGGGCAAGTCACTTAACCCTATTGGCCTCAGTGTCCTCATTTGTAAAATGAGTTTGAGAAAGAAACGGCGAACTACTCCAGTATTTGACAAGAAAATCCCTGAATCCAAGCCCAACGTGCATTCCACTGTATGACCCTGCTACCTAGCGGGGGTTTGTCCCTTCCTACCTGTCCATCCGCCCACTTCATTCTGCAGCCCCACCTCCAATCTCGTCTATCCCACTGAACTCATTCCTTCAAGACTCGGCTCACATTGTACCTTCTGCAAGGTCTTTCCCAGCCCTCCACCACCACTAGTGCCCTCCCTGAGATTACCTTTCATCAACCTTACAGATTTTTGTTTACACAATTGTCTACATTAGACTCCCTCGTTAGAATGTGAGCTCCTTGAGGGCAAGTACTGTTTTTGTCTTTATATCTCCAGTGCCTGGCACATAGGCAGTGAAGTGGGTAAAGCACCAGCCTGGAATTAGACCTGAGTTCAAATCCAGCCCCAGACACTTAATAGCTGTGTGACCCCCAGTATGTCACTTAACCTCTTGTTGGCCTCAGTTTTCTCATCTGTAAAATGGGGGTGATAATAACAGCACCTATTTTCTACGGTTGTTGTGAGGGTGAAATGAGGTAATAATTACGAAGCATTTAAGCGCACACTGTGGGTGCTTAACGAATGCTTATTTCCTACCTCTCCCTGCCCCTCCACATACACCCCCCGACCCCACTCTACAGATTAGAAAACAGAGGATTATAAAAGACGTAAGTGACCTGGCTCTGGTCTATACCCCAAGCTGTGAGATGGAGAAGGGCAAGAGACCTGCCCGTCGGGTGGGTGGAGAAGCATAAAGCAGCAGAGAGGAAAGCTCTGGGTCCAGGTCTGGGTGGACACAGCGGGAGAGATCCGGGCTTGGGGTGAAGTCAGGGAAGACTTCTTGCAGCAGGCGGCCCAGGCTGGGCCTTTAAGTTCCCCACTCCTTGCCTCGGCCCCTCTTTCTTCCCCAGAGCAGGGAAGGCAAAGGACGCCGCCACTCCACATGGAGCCACGCCAAAGCCGCGCCACCGCCCCTCCCGTTTCGGCTTCCGTAGGGGCGCGATGACGTCACGCGCGCGGCGCAGTTGCCGTGGCGACCGTTGCTCGGGGCAGCGCGTCGCCGGCATCCCTGGGCGAGTGACGACAGAGGAGCCTTTGGTGCTCAGCGAGTCCAAGACAGAGCGAAACCAGTCCAGCCCCTGCCCCAGCCCCGGCCCGGCCTGGGCCCCTTCGCTTGGGTGAGTGCTAGCCGCGGCCGAGCCCGCAGATCCGCCCTGCAGACAGACTGACGGACGGACGCGCGGACAGACTGCAGCACGGCAGAGATGCTCCCCAGGGAGCGCCGAGCCAGGAGTCATGGCACCGCGGTTTGAATCCTGCCCCTGAACTGCGACTCCCTCCACTGCTCCGGGCCTCAGTTTCTTTAGCTGTAAGATGAAGGCCCAGCTCTTTGAACCCCTCTGATCAGAGAAACAGGCCCCTTCGTCCCCTGCCCCAAACACAGACAGACTCCACCTGCAGGACAAACAGATACACCTGGGGACATCCCCCCCCCACGACACACACACACACACACACACACACACACACACACACATGCACAGAGACTGACGGAGGGACTAGTATCCTGGCCAGACCCATTCTGACTCTCAGGGACTGTTTTCTTTTACTTGTAGGACCCCCAGGCAGGCAGCCAGCTCACATGAGCATCATCCTAGGCATAGAGGGCCCAGGGCAACGAAAAAGTGAGCCTCTCACAGACACAGAGACAGATCCGCCCCCCCCCCAATACCCAGACCCCCCCTTCTCCCTCTCCTCTTCACCACCTAGTGCTGTTTTCTCCCTAGGTCACTCTGTGCATCAAGAGACACCTCCACTCCTCCACCCCACCCCCACCCCAGCACAATCCTAAGAGAACTGCCCAACACAGACTGAGAGCTGGAAGGGACCTCAGAGGACACTTAAGCCACCCTGTACTGGAAAAATCAATTTCTTCTCTAAAATGTACATACAGGAGGAAGTCAGCTAGCTGTTCCTTTCCTGACGATCTCCAGTGCTGGAGAGCTTACTACCTCTGAATTTACAGCTGCGTTTGGGACAGCTCTTATTATTAGGAAGTTTTTTGTTTGTTTGTTTGTTTACATGAAACAGAACTCTGCCTCCTTTTGCTATTCCCCTATTACTCCTAGTTCTTTCCTCTCAGGCAACACAGAGTAAGTCTTATTTCTCTTTTCTGTAGGAGCCCTTTGGAAACTCAGAGATAACACTCATGTTCCTCCCAAATTTTCTTTTCCAGGCTAAACATATCCATGTTCCTTTACCATCCAAGTCCTGCCCACCTTAGTTTCCTTATGTTCCTATAAAATGAGGTGGCTGGACTAGAACATCACTAAGATCTTTTCTATCTCCAAATCCTTTGATCCATCCTCTGATTCTCTGGACACATTGTTATAGCTTGTCTGTGTGTTATTTTCCTAAAATATGAAGCCCAGAACTGAGAATGTCCTACAGATGTGGTCTTATGAGCATAGTGTACAGGTGAGACACTCACTCACCTCACTCTGGACACAAGATTTTTATTAATGATGTCCAAGATCATAGTAGCAGGTTTGGCTGTGAATACATTGTTAATTCATGTTATTGAATCCTCCCAAGTTATTATTCTCATGAACTACTGTCTAGGTATCTCTCTCTTTTTTTTTAGACATTTGGGGTTAAGTGACTTGCCCAGGGTCACACAGCTAGTAAGTGTCAAATGTTTGGTCTGAGGTCAGATTTGAACTCAGGTCCTCCTGACTTCAGGGCCAGTGCTCTATCCACTGCCCAACCTAGCTGCCCCTAGATATCTCTTTTTTATCCTCTACTTCTGCAGTTGATGGTTTGAACTCTGATGCAGGACTTTATATTTATCACTCTTAGATTTCATCCTGTAGATTCCATCTATCATTTTAGCCTTTTTGGATCCTGTTATCTAATGCATTAGTGATCCCTCTTTACCCTGCATCACCTGCAAATTTCCCATCTATTTTTTCCTCCAAGTCACTGACCAAAATATTGAACAGTACAGGCTGCTGCCAGATCCCTTGGGGCACCTCTTTCGGGATGAAAGGAATCGGTTATCATTGGATCTGAGTATTTAGTTCTCAAGTCAACAAACTCTACCATTTGTCTATCTCACATCTTTCATTTGGGTTGTTCCTACCTCCCCTCTGTGGTCGCTAAAAATAGTGTCTGACATTTGGGCCCATGACATACACCTGACAGCTTGTTTCCATGTGGCCTTCAAGTACTTCCTCATAGACTGGCACCCCTCATATACCCTAAATCTGGGATACCCCCAACTGTTTTCAACAAATAGGTACCAGGGGATGAATCAACAAATACCTATTAAGCACCTGAAACATGTAGGGCTATGTGTTCGTGTAGGTAACTATGGTGCATTAGAAAGAGCTTTGGATTTGAAGTCAAGAGACCTGGGTTCAAACCTTAGGGCTGTTACATACTAGCTTTGTTTTAATTTGGGCAACTCTCTGAGGCTCAGTTTCCTCATCTATAAAATGGGCATGTTACTTGTACTGCCTACCTCACAGGGTTGTTATTCTGGACATTCTCTGTAAACTTTAAAATTCTATAGAAATGAGATATTATTATCATCTATAAAATAGGCATACTTATTCTGTCTACCCCTTAGGGTTATGAAGATTGGTAGATATAAAGCACTTTGTACAGTACTATGTGATTGTCAGCCATTTGTAATCATTTATTCCACATTTATTAAGCACCTACTGTGTAATGAGCTCTGTGCTAGACATTGGGGGATCTTGTTTAGGTAAGACACAGCCTTGCTCCTAGAGAGCTTATAGACTAATAGGGGAACACCAACACAGATAATTATAGTAAGTACATAAGAGAACAAACAAAATGATATGTTATATCAAAGGAGAAAGTTTGTTATCAATAGGGGGCTTCTGAGAAGGATTCCAGGAGGAGGCAGCATTTAAGCTGACTTTTTCACAGGCCTTGCCTGGGGAGGGAAGGTGATTTCTCTGAGGAGAACAAATGTAGAGAATCAGAGATCTGAGAACAGTCCAGTTTGATTAGAGCATAAAGTATATGGAAGGCAGTAATATGAGATAAGTCTGGGAAGATAGAGTACCATCAGATGGTATGGGACCTACAAATGGCAGGCTAAGGAGCTTCAGTGTTAGACTCTAGGCAATAGGGGATAGCTTATTTTTTTGAGGTGAAAAATGACATCATTGAGTGCCCATTTTTAGTGGCCCAACCTGTGATTTCATTAGTGTAGGGAACACCCCTCTGAAGAAGCTTCCTCTAACCTTGGAGATCAGTAACTCTTTTCTCATGCCCAATTTAGTTACCTAAGGCCCTCTAGGGATAGAATCTGACTTCAAGATTGTCTCTGGGTGCTTCCTCTGTGTCACCATTGCTGCCTCTCTACTTTATGCATGACGAAGACTGTTCCTGCACAGTTTTGAAGGGTAAATTGGAGAAAGAAGAGGGTGGAATTCAGGCAGGTTGAGAAAGAGGGTCTGTACTAGGGGGGTGGCAATGGGGGACAGATGTGAGATGTTTTAGGAGGTGAAATTCACAGGGCTCTGTCACTGACTGGATATTAGAGCTGAAAGAAGGGGATGAGTCCAAGATACTTGAAAAGTCACAAATGCTGGAAAGAGGGTGAGGGTGAAAGATGGGACTGCAGGTAGAAATAATGAAGGCAGGAGGAAGATGGTTTTTTGGGAAAAGATAATGAACTTGGTTTTGAACGTGCTGAGAGTTGTCAATCTGGCATTCTCATATGGAGGATGCAAGTCTCAAGCTCAAAAGAGAGGTCAGGATTGTAAATGTAGGTCTGGGAATCATTTGCTTGGAGGAAATAGTTGAAGCTTTTAGAGTGAATAAAATTTCCAGGGGAAAGAGTGCAGAGAAAGAAAGAGGCCAGAGACAGACCTTTGGGGAACACTCATCTCAGGGGTTTGGAAAAAGAATAAGGAACTAGTAAATGAGACAGAACAGTGGATAGATATATAGGAGTTAGAACCAAGAGAGTATTGAGTCTCTAAAACCAAAGGAGATGAGAATGTATAGGAGGAGAGAAGTAAAGATGATGAGGACTAAATAAAAGATATTGCATTTGGCCATGATGACCTTTGAGAAAATTTCAATAGAGTAGGGAAGATCAAAACCAAATTATAAAGAGTTGAGGATTGAGTGGAGGCATTGGTATGGGATAAGTCTTAAAGTACCCTAAAGAAATGGATATTCACATTTTCTATTAAGCCATATTCTGTCAAATATCAGATGTCAAGAGTTCTACTTTTGGCACATGATGGTTCACCATTAATTCATGATTCCATCATAGAGACAAGGGCCAAGTGAGTGATAATGTAATAAGTGCTGGTTGGGGTAAGAGTTCATTGTGGCTGGATCCATCAGTTTCATAGAGGCATTAGGGTTTGAGCTGAGTCCTGTGGCGGGACTTACATAGGCAAGGGACAGTGGTAGGATATTCTAAACAAAAACCAGCAAGAAGGCAAAACCAAAAATATTTTAATCTACAGTCATAAACCATCTTTACTTCTATAAAACAAAAGAGGTAGGCCAGGTGATCTGTAAGGTCCATTTCAGCTATAACTCCTATTACCCTAAAGTCCTTCTTATCTGCTTCATTGAGGTAATGAGGTGACTCTGGGTCCTTGAAGGTCAGACCGATGGTTTATAAGCTTTTGCCAATGCTACTGAGTTGATAAGGCTTTAAAGGACCAGTTTATAAACAGACTCTGTGCTTGTCCTTTGAGGACTGCCAGGGGATGAATCATTTTAGGCACAGTAAGTCAAGAAGACTAAGACTGGAAGAGGCAGCAGTCAGCATTGCTGGAGGGAGTTTGTCCAGTCTGATGAACAAATGGATCTCTGAGTTAGTGAAGTATACGTAAACCTTATATAAACACACATCGATTTGTTTACTGTGTTCTGTAGCAGCAATGATTTCTATGCATACTACAAAGGCAGATGCTAGTTCTGATCTGGGGAAGAAAGAATATCGTTGCTTTTATAATCTGTACTGTATCAACAACCTTCTATTGACCTTTTCATCTGTCCAGCTCTAACTTTGTTTGTGTGCTCTTTTAATTGTCACTAAATTGTGCTTGTTTAAACAGGATAAATCAGCTGAAGTGACTTCTAATGTTACTCACTTATCTGAGCAGCACTTAACTAC